TATACTTGGCTAAGGTGCAGTTTTATTGTCCCAAAAGTCTAGCCACTTTTGACTGCTTCTTCTGATGAGCTTCGTAAGTCTATCATATCCCTTCTTAGCTCGGAATTTGCTATGAAGGACTTGGGACCTTTGAACTATTTTTTGGGCATCAATGTCACTCGTCATGCAGGTGGTTTATTTTTATCTAAAAAAAAATATGCTACAGAGATCATTGACCGAGCTGGCATGTCATCGTGTAAGCCATCTCCTACTCCTGTTGATACCAAACCAAAGATCAGTGCTGCTACAAGCACACCTTTTGAGGATCCATCTCTTTATAGAAATCTTGTAGGGGCTCTTCAGTACCTTACATTCACAAGACCCGACATTACATATGTCGTGCAACAGGTATACTTATTCATGCATGACCCAAGGGGGGAGCACATGCACGCTCTCAAACGCATTTTGCGTTACCTTTAAGGTACTATGGATTTTGGTCTTCATCTATATCCATCTTCTACATCCACCTTTCTTTCTTATACGGATGCTGATTGGGGTGGGTGCCCAGATACACGACGTTCTACGTCTGGTTATTGTGTTTTTCTAGGAGATAACTTAATCTCTTGGTCCGCCAAATGACAGCCTACCTTATCACGATCTAGTGAAGAGGCGGAATACCGAGGGGTTGCCAATGTGGTTTCTGAGTCATGTTGGTTGAGAAACTTACTTTTGGAGCTTCATTGTCCAATTCAAAAGGCTACGTTGGTATATTGTGATAATGTTAGTGCCATATATCTTGCTGGAAATCCTGTTCAACATCAACGCACTAAGCATATTGAAATGGATATACATTTTGTTCGAGAAAAGGTTGCTCGCGGCTAGGTTCGAATGCTTCATGTCCCCTCACGTTATCAAATTGCAAATATTTTCACCAAGGGTCTTCCGCTGGTGTTATTTGAGGATTTTCGAGACAGTCTTAGCATTCAGCGACCTCCTGCTTCGACTGCGGGAGTGTGTTAGATTATATGATAATATATTCTGATTTATTATAATATCTGTTATAGCTAATTTATAGCTAATTTATTTCCTAATTTTAGTCAAATTATACTTTGTATAATGTCCGAATTATACTCTGTATAATGTCCGAATTATACTCTGTATAATATATATATAAACAGATGATTCTAATGAAATGGATCAAGGAATTATTCTCTTTTAGTTATGCTTTAAACTACTTTTGAAAGATTTTATACGAACTTACTTAAATTTACAAAAATGACATGATTTTAATAAATTATCTTTGTTTAAGAGGTCCATCTAATTTAAATTCGACCTATTCATATAAAGTAATACTTAGTTCAAATTTATTTATAGAACAAATCCTAGATAAAATTATACTAATGATTTACGTACGTATAAAAGCAACAAACTTGACATATAATGTGTTTTTCTCACTTAGTAATGTCATCTACGTGGTATAGCAAACGTAATTAATTTTCTCGCCAAAAATTAAAGCTTTCAATATAAAGATGACTTTTTCATGAAAGTATGCATCACTTACTCATTCTTACAAATACTTAAGATAAATATTGACTTTGGCATTTTTTAGGAATAACACTAATGCAAAAACACTATCTGATCGATGTCACCTTTTCTACATCAATTGTAACAATTGATATAAAAAGTGACATGGTAGCATTTTTGTACTTTGAAGCAACTATTTTACATTGGTTCTAGAAAAACCAATTATATCAATTCAAAATAGAACTGATGTATTATGAGTTTTAAATTTCAAAATCATGGAGTGAAATTTTGAGACTTGAGTTTCTTTATTGGGTTAAAGGTTTCGTACGATTGTTAA